CTGCCCCGTGGCCCTTCCCTCGGACGCAGCCTCCTCCCCGCCCCTCCCCTGACCCCTCCCGCCTCCGCCCCGGCAGGCTGCAGCACGTCTTGGAGGAGAAGCGGGTGGCCGAGACGGCCTTGGCGGCCCTGCAGGAGGAGCTGAAGCTGGCCAGCAAGAGCGGCGCCCTCAAGGAAGTGAAGATCCTCAAGAAGGTGGTCCAGAGCCTGGAGGAGCAGCTGGCCAAGGAGCGGACCAAGCACCAGCGGGCGGCCAGCAAGCGTCTGCAGGAGAGCCGGCAGCTGGCCGACGAGGTGGGCGGGTCCGGGGCCTTGCGGGGACCCTCCTCCCCCCCTCCCTCCGTAACAGGCTGCGGGGGCGGGGGGGGGGATGTTAGGACAGTGCGGGAAGTGTGTGCCTGTGGGGACGGGACACTTCTGTGCTCTAAAGATCCAAATTCCTGCCGGGGAACCCTGAACTCCGCCGCCTGCATACATTTTGCAGGCGGCCAGGGATTTCGGCAAGACCCCAAAGTTTTGGTTCTCCTTCAAATAGAATCTTAGAGTCGGAAGGGGCCATATAGACCGTCTAATCCGACCCCCTGCCCGATGCAGGACCAGGCCTAGAGCCTGTAATTTAACTGCCCCTTGAAAAATTTCAGTGCCACCCCCCCCATGATCTGTGTAGGACTGGGAGACTAGTGAGGCCTAGGCCTAGGAGACCTGTGTGGGAGTGGAAAGCAGACACCGCCTACAATCCCCACAATGCTTGGCTCCGGTTGCAACCAATGGATTGTATGAGGGGATTGTTACTTAAAACTTAGTGGACTGTGGAACTGTGTTCTTTTCTCTCACCGAGTTAAGCTGAGAGGACACTCTGGTCTGAGAGAAAGACCCCTCACTTGGGACAGAGTGAGTGCAGGCACAGGCCTGGTATAAAAGGCTGTGGGCCTCGAATAATATCCAGTTAAGAGAAATAGGTAGCCACGTTAGATTTGTTTTATTTACCTTTAGACACTGTTATATATTTTAAACACTTTGTCTTGTTTTTCCTTGCCCCATTACTGTATTAATAAACCATTTCAATGTTCTCTGCCTGGTCATCACGGCTATAGTTCTCGGCTTAAAGGGGGCATTTTTGGCTGGGCCCGGGAGGGTACTCTGGGCCTTCCCAAGGGACCCTAAGTCCAGGGTGGTGGCAGAGGAAGGTGGCAACCCACGGGGTAGCACGACAGCCCCCCCCCCCCGAACAAAACAATCTCGCCTACGGGCCTGTTGGAAATCCTTCCGTGAATCAACCGGATCCCTCCCTCTTTCTCTCCGCTCCAGCTGGCCGAGCTGAAAGCCACGGAGCGGGGCCTCCGGATCCGCGTGAGGAACCTGACCAACGAGCTGGCCTTGTACAAGAAGGGGTGAGCGGAGGCCTCGGGAGAGTCACATGGTCTGTCGGCCCTTGCCGTGGTCCGCCGCGGACTGTGAGCCCCCTGCCGGTCCTCTGTCGAGCTCTCTTCTGTTTCTTTCCCCTCCTTCCCCAGGCGCTTCACCCCCACCGCGCCGTCCCCCCCGAACCACTTCGCTCACCCCGGCCTGAGCCGAGCCGGCACCGCGGCCAAGAGGAGAGAGGACCGCCGCTCCACCTCGGGGGAGCGATCTAACTCGCGGGAGCGCAACGGGGCCTGGGGGTCCAGCCGACAGCGGTCCTCCTCAAGGGAGGGCCGCAGCGGGAGCCAGGGCCGGCTGACGCGGCAGTCCCCCTCCCCTACAGGTGAGACGGGTGGGCCACCCTCACCGTTTGGCATCCCTTTCGTCGGCCAGAGCGCCAGATGGGTCTGTCTCGTCCAATGACTGTGGGGAGAACCGCCTTTTACAGTCAGCCTTAAGAACATAAGAAAAGCCAGTGTTGGATCAGGCCAGTGGCCCATCCAGTCCAGTACTCTGTCACACAGTGGCCAAAAATACCAGATGCCATCAGGAGGTCCAGCAGTGGGGCCAGAACTCCAGAAGCCCTCCCACTGTTGGCCCCCTCAAGCAACAAGAATACAGAGCATCCCTTGCCCCAGACCGAGAGTTCCTGTCTGTACCTTGTGGCTATTGGCCACTGATGGACTTCTGCTCCATATAAGGACATAAGAGAAGCCAGTGTTGGATCAGGCCAATGGCCCATCCAGTCCAACACTGTGTCACACAGTGGCCAAAAATACCAGGTGCCATCAGGAGGTCCAGCAGTGAGGCCAGGACACTAGAAGCCCTCCCACTGTTGCCGCCCCCCCCAAGCACCAAGAATAAAGAGCATCCCTTGCTCAAGTTGCGGTGGCTCAAGGGGTTCACACGCTGAACTGCAGGCTGTGGAAGGTCAGTAGTTCAGCGGTTCAAGACCCGGGTGCCGCAAGACAGGGTGAGCTCCTGTCTCTAGTTCCAGCTCCTGCCAACCTAGCAGTTCGAAAGCAAGAAATTGCAAGTAGATAAATAGGTACCACTTTGGTGGGAAGGTAACAGCGTTCCGTGCGCCTTGGTGTTTAGTCATGCCGGCCACATGACCACGGAAACATCTTCGGACAGCGCTGGCTCTTCGGCTTTGAAACAGAGATGAGCACCGCAACCCTAGAGTCGGATTCGACTGGCTTTCGAGCAAGGGAACCTTTACCTTTACCTTGTTCAAACTGAGGAATGACTCCCACCCCACTTGCCCCAGCCTGAGGGTTCCTGTCTATACCTTGTGGCTAATAGCCACTGATGGACCTCTGCTCCATATGCTTATCTAATTCCCTCTTGAAGCCGTCCATGCTTGTAGCCACCGCCACCTCCTGTGGCAGTGAATTCTACGTGTTAATCACTCTTTGGGTGAAGAAGTACAGATAGCTGAGCTATCGACAGACATCTTAAAATTCCAAACTCCGTGCCCAAATGTTTATCAACAGTCCTATCTTGCGTGATTTCCTTCTGTTCGATGCGGGGAGCAAGACAGAGTTATGCGGAGAAAAATCTTTGCCATCTCTTCTGAGGTCTGGCTAGGCATCACCCCGGGGGTCCCCAACCTTTGTGAGCCTGCAGGTGCCTTTGGAATTCTGACGCGGCGTGGCGGGCACAGCCACAAAGGGGCTGCTGAAGGGGGTGGAGCCGGCCACAAAATGGCTGCCGCCGCTTAGTCACAGAACGAAGATTGTTGCGCTGCGGCGGCAGCTGCCGCCAAAGCAGCATTTTAAAAAACCCGTGCAGCCAACCAAAAGCCTTGCTGGGCAAAGGTTCCACCCACTTTCTAAACATACTTGGGGGGGGGAGCGGCAGAAGAAGGTGCCCGTGGGCGCCGCGTTGGGGAGCTCTGCGATACCCTTTGTTTCCCGGGAACCTGGCATGAAACATTTCTGAAGATCAGCGTTCTCTCCCTCCCTTCTCTCCCCCAGGCTCACGAGGGCCACGCTTCGACCCCACGGCCTTTGTGAAAGCCAAGGAGCGCAAGCAGAAGGAAGCCGAGCAGAACAAGTGGGTGGCTTTTCTCCGGCGAGGGCCGTCTTGCCCCTCCGCCCCCCTCGACGCCTGGAGCCGACCCGTCCTGGACGCGGACGCTCTCGCTAACCGGCCCTCTCTCCCCTTCAGCAGGCGGTGCCTCCGCCGAGGGATGGGAGACGCTCCGCCCAGCGGGTGGCGCCACCCTCAGTCCAGAGGGCCGTCGGCTTTCGGCGCAGTTGGGAAGTCCCGGGGCAGGAGTTCTTCCGGTAGGGCACTGCTGAGATCGCGGGGTTTTTTGTGTGTTTTTTTTGCAACCGAACGAGGCTGCCCTGGTAGCTTTCTGTGCCCCCATTTCTGCATCCCGCACAGTCCCTGGCATGCGATGGGGACAGCGTCGGGTCATTTTGAGGGGGAACAAGCAGGAACGGTGTTCCGGCGGTAGCAACATTTCCCCTCCCCCCTTGCAAGCAAACACACAGACACCCACACACACGCTCTCCCTTCCCTTTGCTCAGAGGTGGAGCGGGAACAGAGCCCCCGGCTGCAACTTTTCTTCTCTTCCACGGCTCTTCCGCTTCGGGCAAGGACGGCAGGGGAGGGGAGGGGGGGCACAGGCATAGACAGAGGGGGAAATAGACAAGTGTGCAGGCTCAACCCCTCAGGTGCCACCAGTTGTCAACTCAGAATTCCTGAAGATTTGGGGGGGTGGGGACTAGGAAGGGGCTAGTCCTCAGCACAGAATAATGTCCACCAGGGGTCATTTCGTAGAAAAATAGGTGCAGAAGCTCATTAGCATAACTCATTAGCATAACTTATTTGCATATGCCACACCCCCTGACATCACCGGAAGTGTGTCAGAAGGCGACACCCACCGCTCAGGCTCCACTGGACTGTTTTGGATTGCTAGCTTTTGGGAGGGGGGGGAATGTGCAGATCTGTCCTTGCAGAGGAGGGAGAGCTTGTACCTGAATAAAACTTGGTCTTAA